ATTTTCATTGCTTTGATAAAAAGAATAAAACAATTAAACTGATATAGATAAATTATAATAATAATAATAATAATAATATAATAAGTCTTATCATTTTCAATTTTCTCTCTTATATAGTCCAAACAACCATTATTAATCTCTTTTTTCCTCTTTATTTAACATGCAGCTAATATCGTTTATTCACTGATAGCAGGGTAAGATAGTATAAAACAATTGAACGTGACATGCTTGAATTTGTTAACTGAAAATTTAAGAGGAAATATTTTTTAATTATTTTTTTTATTTTTTATGTACATACATGCTTTTTTTTAATAATGTAAAGATTTGTTTTTAATTAATTATTGCTTATTCCTTTTAAACAATTGGTATCATGATTAAAGAGATCAACTTTTTGAGTAGGTTGAGAAAATGTTGAGTGTGACGTTGTCTTTTTGTGTTAATTTGTTGGGCTCACCATTTTGAAAACTATGATATTGTTGAAATGTGTTTCCCAAAATAATGGTTTCCTTTCTTTGTTCCCTAATCACCAATCAACCTCATAATAATCTATTACAAAATATATTGACATATTTTTTTATTAAGAATAGTAAATTACTTTTCTTCAAACACCTTTACGTATTACATGAATCAAAGTAAGTTTATTGGTTCTAATCCAAATTTTTCAATTTTTATCTTCCCAAACTAATTGTATCACTTAGAATAAATTTACTTTACATATTAAACGCAAACGAATTATTTAAAAAAATTATATGTTTTTATTATTATGAAAACAAAATATTTAAAGTTTTAATAATAAATACAATTCTCGCTACTAATATTACGCCAGGATAGAAATATAAGAATTTCAAAACGAAAAAGACTAAGGAATGCCAAGAAAGTATAAAAAAATAAAAACTGAAGAGAATAATAAAGGAAGGGAGAATGCAAGGCAAGGAAGGATAAGAAGAACAATAATAAAAAAGGAAAAAAAGGAAAAGAAGATAAATATTAGTTTACTTTTTGTAAGTTGATTTGGACAACCCATTTAATACAAGTTGGTGGTGGACCAATAACAGTGATTTGGGTCAACTTATTTTTGTTTTATTTTTACTTAAATACGTAATTATTATTTATAATATTATTTTTTAAAAATTTTCTCTTCTACTGCTTCTTTAATTTTATACTTTCATAGTTTATTGTCGAACTTTTTATATTTATATATTTTTCTTACATTTTTATACTTTTCAATTATTGGTTTAGCAAATTTAGTTGTAATAGCTCGTAATGAGTTCAATGAATGACTTAAAGCTTAAGTTACTTTTTTAAAAAATTGCTTATTTCATGTTGATTCACTTTTACAGACAAACCTAGTGATTCAACTAGAGTACTTGAGTTCATTTAACTTGACATAGTTAAGAAGTTAAAAGTCAAGGTTTAATTAAAAAAGGAACATGATTGGGTTACTAAAATGTCAAGAAAATGTTAGGCACCGAATAAAGATTCAACTAATAAATGTGAAAATTTATTATAATTAAATATTATAACTTTACGGTGTGCGTATTTTTTTTAATATATTTTATTAGTTGAGTGTGTACATAAAGTGTAACATCGAAAAATTTGTTAATGTTCTATAGAATAGGTAAGTGCAACCTCGAAAAATGCATCTAACACACTTAATATTTATCATCAACATAATAGAAAATATAATAGTTATTTTAGTAGGTAGTAACTAATTGAAATGGTACTATCAATTGTTTATAAATGAAAAAAAAAAGTAATTATAGTCATAATAATAAATATGGTGTAATTTAAATTATATATTTTTTATATCAAAGTACTTTATATATATATATATATATATATATATATATATATATATATATATATATATATATATATATATATATATATATATATATTATTTCATCAAATATTTCATTAAAAAATTTCTTGTATCAATCATATTTTTAATTTAATTTTAAATCTTAAAAAAATTGAACGAATTACAATTAGATTTATTACTTAAAATAAATGTCTTTCTTTACATAGTATATGTTTACATTTAAAAGTATACGAGAAATGAAAATTTTTCATTATACTTATTATAATAACAAGTACATTTACGGACCGCGGACGCGGATATTTGCGAGATAAAATTCTTGGGTATCTGCAGATATTTACTATCCACAGGTTATGGGTAGCGAGTTTTTCAATACCCGCTTATAAATAGATCGGGTGTAGATATTATACTACTCGTATTCGCAGATATCTACTACTTGCAAAAAATAAAAATAAAAATTTAATTTATATTTTATTAAGTTAAATTTAATTAAAATTAATATTAATTTATACTATAAATTAATAAGGTTAAATATAATTAAAATTAAATTTATATTTATATTTTATAAGGTTAAATATAATTAAAATTAAATTTTAATTTATATTTAATTTAATATATATTATATTTTATATATTTTTTGTAATTTTATTTAAGTTTTATTATAATATTTTATAAAAATATATTTTTTTAAATACTTGCATGTGTCCACGGATATCCGCGGGTTTTAAAATATCCGCGAGTACTTTTTAAACGAGTATCCCTGCGAATAACGGTCGAGTAGCGGATGAATTTTTTTTTGTCGAGTCAGGTTGCGGGTAGGCATTATACGTGCTCAACCCGACCCATTGTCATCCCTAAATACATTACATAAATATTTATTGACTTTTCAATGATTTAAAAATTTCTTCATAAATTTAAGATCTTTTTTATTTTATGGTTTCATTCAACATAGATAACTATTTTTAGTGAACTATCATCTAATTAATTATCATTTTTATTGATTACATTTAAGCAAATCCAACATAACATACTATACCATAAATAAATTCAATTTATAAAACTAACACGTACAAATTTTTATTACTCAAACTCCATTCTTACTTGTAGATAAAATAATATATAGATATGGATACATTGCATAAACTAGATTAAAGAAGATGATTTCGGTTTCTAACTCTGTTGAAGAGTTGTGCTGCAGCAAGAAAAATGTAACAGTTATTACAAGTTTTTCTAAAACTGAGTTCAGTGGTAGAATTGAAGACCTTTGAGAAATACTTATTTTCATTATTGTTATAAGTTAGTTAAGAGGAATTTCGTTTATGAATAGTAGTTGACCAAATGGCTCATAGTTGGAAAAAACAAATCATTTTCAGCACATACACAATGCTTACACGACAACTGTTGATAAAATCATTCGCAATTCGATAAACAACATTAAAAAATAAGATTCAACACAAACGTGAATATGATAATGTTAAACAATTATTTCACTTGTTTTCTATATGTCGGTTGTCTCTTCGTTATCTTCTGATAGCATGGGTTTAGACCCAATCAACAGGGTCGGTGATAAACTGGATTGAAAGGATCAAACAGTTAAAATGTTAAAAAAATATCTCATGATCGTCTGGTCCGGATTTGTTGAGTAAAGTAATGATATAATTAATGTTTTAACGATTATGATTAAATCGTTAAAGTTTGTATTAATAATCATTAAAAAGATAAATTAATTAATCAGATTTTCTAAACTTTATAAATAAGGGTCTAATATCGGAGTAAATTATTAAATTTTAAAAATTTAAATAGAAAAATTATGACTTAAGCGTTACCATAAACTGATCGGTTATTAAAACACGAAATGAAGAGATATTTGATAAAGACATAAAATTTTTTATCCTCGTCCTATTTCAACATAAACACTTTCTTTGTAACTTTGCAGTCAATACAGAAGGAAAATCTCGTTATAAATTTCATACCCTCTTAATATTCTAATTAATGAAGGATATGCAAGTAATTTTCTCTTACATCTTTTTTATTTGAACAAGTCTTGTAACACAATTCACCAGTACTTTTCTTAACAAAGAATCACGAATATCATTTATTTTTATTTACACTTTAAAGTTTGAAAAGTACAAAAACGTATCAATTTATTGATCTTGTTGGAATAATAGATTATTTGTGGATTGAATCTCTGCATAGAGCGTCTAAAATTAGAAGATATCGACAAGGATTTTCAAACGAAGAGAGAGAAAATTGAAGTGCAAACGAGGCCACACACGAAAACGCTAAGAAGTTTAGTTTTCGTCACCTAACTGCGATATCATGATACACAACAAAACATGTCGTTGGTTTTATAAATAAAAAGCTCTACTTTTTATTCTTATTGAAATCTCCGTCTGAACTTTCCTAACACTATCGGCATTCTAATTATTTATTTGCTTTAAACTAAATAAATAAATAAATAATGGAGCGCGTGGAGTTAAATTCAAAGCATTGTGTGGACTATCTATATTCAAACCGCTGTTCAATAAATGGTACATCAGTTTTTGAATGTAAATTCGAACCATATTTTGTATTTCTTGAAGATACTAGTCATCTTGACAATTAAATTTAATTCTCAAGAAATTGATAATAAAATGAATATAGTTTTATTACAATTAATAATTTGGTGACAATCTAATATTTTGTAAGGTAAGTTTTGAAGAAGAGATAAAAAGAAATTTATTTACAGAAAATTACCTTAGAGAATTTTATTTTCTCTATAAATTTTTTTAATATATTAATTATAAAAAAGCACACAAATTTAGAAGTTTATGTCCTATTTTTCTTTTTCTTAATTCTGTAAAATGTTTATTAAAAAGGAAAATAGAAGCGACTATAATGCACGCGCAGTTTTCTAGAACTGGTAGGAAAAGCCAACCACAATCACCTAGACTACGCGTTTTTTTGCCCGCCAAGTATACCAAATGAAAATACGCCACGTGGAGAATCTCAGCAATAATCTAAGCAAGTGCAACGAGTATTGGCTGTACCATAGAAATAACCGTTATTGATTATTTCCACTTACGATGCGAACAACGTTTTATCAGCATTTACATTTTTTCCATGGCGCAATCTCAACCGTCAGATATCGGGGCCCACAAAACAAACGGATCCGGGACAAGTATAAATAAACACCCAACTACGTCAAACCAGATTGCGCTTGCATTGTGGTGTGTAGCGGTGTTCTGTTCCTGTTATCTGTGTTGTGAATCCGTGTCTGTTTCCGAAATCGTCTCCGTCGCAGGGGGCGATGTCTTCCGCCGAGACGGAGATGGAGCCTCTCACGTCGGGGGCGAGCAACCGCATAATTCCGCTCCTCAAGGCTCTCAGGGCTTCCCTCATCTTCGTCTACACCTTCTTCCTCTCCTTCCTCTTCTTCATCCTCCCCCGCCGCCGCCGCCTCTCCTCAACGGCGGGGCCACCATCACCCAAGAAGCATTTGAGGCGGCGCTGGCTCGTGCGCGAGGAGGAGGACACGTGCCGGCGGAGAGCCTTGGCGCAGGACTACCTTGGAATGGGTCGCGACGAAGGGTGGTGCCGGTGGAGCACTTCCATTTTCTATGGGGTTAGAAACAACGCTTTGTTTTGCCGCTCTTGGTTCCCAGTTTCCGAAGATGTCAAGTGAGTTTTTCTCTCACTTCATTTTCACTTTACGTTTTTGGCAACTTCAACACGTCTTCTCCGTTTTTTTAACGGAATTCTGTCAAACCCTATTGCTTAACGAACTCTTGTGTCTGTGTTCTGTTCTCTATTTCTTAGCCTCGTGTGTACACGTAGAGAATTCTATAGATAGAGATTGAGCTAAAGTTCTCGACACATTGAAATTTGGAAATTCTGTTTCAGGGTAAATGGTGAATGAGCTTAAACATTAAAAAAATAGAAATGATTTGTCACCGTAGCTTGATTGAAGTAATTGGAGTTGTAAGAGAGGAAATTTTGCTAGCAAGTTTCGTGGTTTCATTTTGAGAGGTGTTTTAGTTTTTCCGTCGTTCCTGTGAGAGCATTTGAAATTGAAGTGGGGTGAATTAAGTGCATCTAGAATTGGGTCCTCTCTTGTTGATATAGAGTAACTGGACAAAGAGAGATGAAAGATGCAAGTGGTCGAAAATTTGAACTGAAGTTTTTGTTCTTAAAAATTGAAGTTTTTGTTCTTAAAAATTGAATGTAGAATTATTTTGTTCTACATGCTAAATGCAATGAAATTTGCTTGTGTATTATTGTGTTAGTCTACAGTGTTATTGACTTGTAGGTTTACTATTGAACTGTTTACAAACAGCAAAACGTTAAGGTTCACTGATTTATAATAGTCGTGTTCACAGGACAGTTGTTTTGTGTCTTTTTTCTGACATGATAGATGAGACAGTCTAACGAATGTATTGTTAGAAAGCTCCTGCTTATCGACTGTGCTTTCTTTTCTTTATTTAATTGCTTGCATCTTTTCTTGTTAGCATGTAAAGCCAACTTTCTGTAACATTTGGCCTAACTTATTTTCTTTGTTCTTTAAGGGGCATTCTGATCATCATTCATGGGCTCAATGAACACAGGTAATCTTGCTCAATTGCTTTGTCCTTTTTTTTTTTAAATTGCCATCTTTCAGGGGTTGATGAATGTTTTTCATTGCGGGACTAGTTTACTCTGCCTTTAGATTTTGCAAAATTTGATTTTTGAAGCGATTGTCAATACATTTAAATCTTTCCTTTGATTGTTTCTAGTAAGATAACAAGAAGTATCCCCCATCTCCTTCCAATTATCTGACATATTACTCATTTTTCAGCGGAAGATATGCGGACTTTGCGAGGCAATTAACATCATGCAACTTTGCTGTCTATGCAATGGACTGGATAGGTAATTTAAGATTTCTCTTTCCATTCGGCCCCTTGTGATCCTCATTTTTTTGCACCTTTTTTAATCAAACGGATTTACGTTAGACTTAGTAACAGTAAAATTCTGTCTTTATCGTTTTGTGAGGGATCTGGAGTGATTTGTTTTACTGTTACAGGTCATGGAGGCAGTGATGGATTGCATGGTTATGTTCCTTCTCTTGATCATGTGGTTGCAGACACAGTACGTGCATTCCTTCTTTCTTTAGTTAAAAATCATGTTCTTGTATGAATATAGACTTTTGGTATCTGTTCCCGTTTGTGATAGTTCTTGGAAAGGAAAACCGTTTTCCACATCATTATTTTTCTACCATTTTAATCGGGACAGAGATATTGCGTAAAGTTGGAATACATATTAACCTTTTATTCTTAGAGCATGAAGCAGTGATATTTCTGAAGTTTTTTTTTTCTTTTTTCATGTTATGGTATTATATTCTCCGGAATCTCATATCCATAAATATTATAATGGGAACGTTATTTGAAAACTTTCTTGAAAACAAAAGATATCTAGTAATATTTTTTATAAGCATCTGAATAAACATTCTCACTTTCGTGGAAATGCAAAAGGATTCTGTGAAACAAATTCAAGTTAACTTGAGAGCTTATTTCTTGCTTTGGCTTACCAATATTTTGATCATACTCTCTAGAATAGTTATTTTGTATCTTTTATTCAATTTCATTGTAATTGTTATTTGTAGTAATTTTCATGCCATACAATAATTTCAGATGTCAGTCAGTGTTTTTAGCAGTGTACTTTTCTTACTGATAGTAATGGCTTGAACAGGGGGCTTTCCTAGAAAAGATCAGATCGGATAATCCTGGAATACCATGCTTTCTCTTTGGTCACTCCACTGGGGGAGCTGTGGTCTTGAAAGTAAGGGCTGAAATATCCTGTATATATACCTTTTGGGATTAAATTTGTCTCTGTTGAATTTGGAAATTTAATTTCTTCAAATTTCGTGTAGGCTGCTTCCCATCCTCATATTGAAGTAATGGTGGAAGGAATTATATTAACCTCGCCAGCTTTAGGTGTGAAGCCAGCTCATCCAATTGTTGGTGTAAGTTTTGCATTCGTAGGTTGTGCTTGTTATATAACTATAAATTAACGTGTTTCTGATTTGTTACTGCAACGTTAGCTATGTGCGGTAAACTTGTGCATGTTTCTTAAACCTGCAGTAAAAAACATGCTGTAATATACAAAGTTATCATGAAAGTAACAACCTCCCTTTTCAATTGATAATGTCAATCCTCCGACTTCCAATAAAACTATAGTCAGGCTGCTATGATATGATATGATATGATATCTAGTTACACAGAATCATTGACTCATTCACAATCTCAAGTTTTAAAAGTTTGAGTGTGCTTAATGCATATTGTTTATTGATGTGTTGATGCAGGCTGTTGCTCCAATTTTTTCTCTGGTGGCTCCAAGGTTCCAGTTCAAAGGAGCAAACAAAAGGGGCATTCCAGTTTCGAGGGATCCAGCAGCGTTGTTGGCGAAGTACACAGATCCTTTGGTGTACACAGGACCTATAAGGGTACGAACTGGGCATGAAATAATACGGATATCCTCGTACTTAATGCGAAACTTCAACTCCGTGACTGTACCATTCTTTGTTCTGCACGGCACTGCTGATAAGGTAACTGATCCACTGGCCTCACAAGATCTGTATGACAAAGCAGCTTCAAAATTCAAAGACATAAAGCTGTATGATGGTTTTTTACACGACCTTCTGTTTGAGCCTGAGCGTGAAGAGATTGCTCAGGACATTATCAACTGGATGGAAAAGAAACTATTCACTATCTGAAAATGTAAGAAAAAAATATGTAATTGTGTTTGGTATATATGAAAACACAAGGGATGCCAACTTTGATAAGTGTAGAAAATTGAATTCGCCCAGGCAAATGGGGTGGCTGAGGCAGATAGCATTATTAATCTTTCGTTTTAGGCTGTTTGATATATATCAATATATGAATTCTGCGAACATCTTTGCTTATCAAGAAACTTGTAAATTTATTACACCTAAAATTTCAGTAGTGTTTTCATTAGAGGTGTCATTTGAGCCCTTGGCCCATGGGTTGACCCTGACCCCTTCTAAAATCAAGCCCCAATTTTCTAGCCCACTTAATAGGGGGCTTTTTAAAAGCCCCAACCCCTAAAGCCCCACATAAAGTGGGTTGGGGTAGGGTTAGGATGGGGCTAGCCCCCAAACTAAATTAATTCACTTTTAATGTTTTTTTAGTTATTTCTTTTATTTACTTTTCAAGTTCAATAATTTCCAAAATTTACATGATATTTAATATCTTTTTAATTAAATATAAATGTATAAATATTGATTTTAGAAAAAATTATTTAAAATAATTTTTTAATTATAAGCATATTTTAAATATATAATTTTATTATTTTGGAAAGTTAAAAAAGAAAATTTTTATTATTATTTTTA